AAAAGGGGGGGGGGGGGGGGGGGGGGCGGGGGGGTGGTCACCGTAGAGCCCAGTTTCTGGAACCCAAAGATGTGGTCTGTGGACTGGGGATGAAGACAGGTGAAGAAAGAACACTGCAAGAATTCTGCACCACCCCCAGATGGCGATGTACGCCACTGCCCAGGGCTTCGGAGGACTGAGCAGTTTGTTTTCTCCAGATAAAGGAGACCAGGGCTCATTATATTCACAGCACCTTGTTCAGGCGCCCCTGAGTGAGAGCCCCTCACGGGAGGGGGACCACTGTTTTTCGCCTGCTTCACCCAGCACACCAGAGCCAGGGTGGGCCATGCAAAAACACTTATGGAATTTATAGGTATAGGATTTCAGAGCTGCAAGAGCCCTGAGGCGAGGGGAGGGGGAGCCGGGCACTCAATCCATCCGCAGAAGAGAGGAAGCCAGAGCCCTCAGGGAGGCAGGAACTGCTCCGCTCCAGAGGGACCGTCCATGCTCAGGCAGACTCACCGCGGGGTCGGGTACACAGCAGGAGAAGGGCACCCCGCACTTCTCGCGGCTGTAGCTGGCGCCACTGCAGTTGAAATAGACGTTGAGGTCCCAGTCTTCAGGGCCATATGCCCCACAGCACTGGTTCTGCAGTCACAAAGCCGAGAACTGTCGGGGCTCTGAGCCAGGGCTGTCGTTGCCCCGCGTAGGGTGTCTGTCTTAGGGACATGGGGTTCAGTGCACCTCTGTGTATCACACAGAGAAATCGAAGGCCGCCCCACGGACCTCCCATCACTGAGATGTGAGCGAGGTGACCCGAGTGGACCCTTAAGAAGGAAACTGTCCGGGTCCTGTCTGGGCCCAACACACCAGGCCGGCTCGGCAGTGCCCTTGGAGTCAGCTCCACTCCCTCCTCACCCTGGAACTTTCCCTTCCTCCCCAACTGACCCCCCAACCCGGGATAGCGGGCTTCTCGCTCTCCTTCTGATGTGGTCCTCTACTGCCCACCGAGAGAACACCTCTTTGTGGGCAGTGTGCTTTCCTCCCCAGGAAAGGTCCAAGCTGACCCCAGTCACCTTTCGTGCCTCTTTACAGGAAACAGCTGCTGAAGTCTACTCCCAAGGAGAGTTATGACTGGGGTGAAAGGTAACGCAATCAAAACTCTGCCCCTGACCCGGGGTCTCCACCCTCCCTTCCCAGAACCCCCCACTATCTGGTGAAGCAGCAAAGAAAAACCCCAGTTGTCTAAAAAATCCTAAAACCAAACACAGTGAAAGCAGCACTGTGACGCCAGTGGCGTCCCCATGCGAGAGCAGATGTCGTTTTCACACTTGCGCTTACAGCTGTCATGGTTATGGCCGTAATCACAGGCCCACAACCAGGATTTTGGCTTCACTTTTGGTTCTAAGGTAAAAATCCCGCCTCCCCTGCCCCCGTCCTCCGTGGCTCCAGGTGCTCTAATGACTACCTGTATTTTACTATGAGGAAGCTCCATCATTTACTGAATCTCTAAGGAAAGGTATTTTTTAAAAGGAGAGGAAGGCAGTGGCGAAAACTACAATGTCTGTGAGGCCAGTGCAGAGAGGAACCACCCTGGCATCCTGGACACCAGCAAGCCCAAGGTTATGTGGAAGTGAAGAGAGAATGGCAGCCTTGAACAGAAAAGGAAAAGGCACAGGAGGCAGTGATGTCAGAAGAGGGGGGGGATGGCGACTTTCGCAGACGAACACGGAAGAGATCTAACAACAACAGAGGAAGGATCTAACGACACAGGAAGGATCTCTGATCACATAAATGGGTTTTGTGGGATACTACAATACATGAAATAAGGGGTAAACAAGCTCTGGTTAATAAGGAGAACAGCTCATAGTTATTTTTAATGCTCTTCTAATTTTCTCCTCAGAACAAAAGGGTTCCATGTAAAAAGTTCCTGAGGAAGCTAGGTTTTCTGGCAGAGCACAGATCAAACAACCACCTTGCACAGGCTGGCATGGTGGGGAGCGGGTTTCTCCTGGGGCCGGGGGGGAGGGAGGGGTGGCAGGGATGGGGGACAGCAGTGGTCCCAGCCTCCAGGTACAGCCACACACAAGGGGGACGAAGGCCTGACAGAGAAAAGGCCACAGCCTGGGACCGCTTAGACAAACCCCCGGGAACAGAGTCCAGGGAGGTCACATTCCTCTCCATCTGAAGAACCTTCCTCCAGGCAGCTCTGCCCTCCCAAACAGGAAGGGGAAAAGGTCCCGAGGAGGAAGGGGACAAGAATAGCCTCAGTCGGGGAGTCACGCGCCCAGCTCTACCCCTCAGCACACACAGCACCTAGGAGACTGCAGCCGCCTGCGTGGCCAGGGCTGGAGAGATCCGGGCCCTGCGGGGGTAGAGGGTAGGGTGGCCGTGGGTGCAGCTGGACTGCCTGCCCAAAGCAAATGGGGGAGGGCACCCTGAGAGCAAGCCTGGCCCGCCAGCAACCACAAGCAGACAAAGCTAACCTGACCAGAGCCGGGGGGTAGCACCTCCCCTGGCCTCCCGGCTGTGGGCAGAGCTGAGGAGGGAAGGCCCAGTGTTCCCCACCAGCCTGGCCCCCTAGCCATGCACACAGACTGAAGCCAGGAAAGCCAAGCTCTATCAGGGAGAAGGTGGTGCTTACAGCTTTCTGAAGGGAGTCGATGAGATTCTGCAGGTCGATGTCATCCCGGTAGGATCTGATGTTGCTCTCGAAGAACTCCCGGAACCGGTCCCTCACCCAGTCCTGGAACAGGAAGGCCAGCACGGCCACGGCCAGCTCCAGGAAAAAGATGAGCACAATGGCACTGCAGAACTGCAGGGTGACAAGCACAGGAGCAGAAGTCACTACACCTCTGGCCTCCCAGCCAGACGCGCATCCTTGTCCGACCCGGAACCTCCGCCTGCTGCGAACAGCACGAGCTCGGCACCCAAGAGACCCACGTTGGAGTCTGGGGAATCCCACGTTACTAGCTGGGTACTCTGGGCAACTCATCCCTACTCACACTGCTGCATTGTTGGTAAGACTCAGATGAGTGAAAGTATGAGAAAGCTCCAAGACAATGCACCAACCATCTCCTATGAAGCACCCCCACTCCAAGGAAACTCCATCACGGGAATGAATGGCTATCCTACCCCACCAGGCATCAGCCCCTTCAGGGCAGAGACTGTGCTCCAGACACGCTATCTGACCGCTCTCCTCGCACATACAACCATCCCAGTTGCTAGAAACTTGTTACTCCTACTTTAGGGATAAGGAAGCTGAGGTTCACTCAGGTTACACGTATCATACTTTAGATACAGGGCATCTGAGTTCCCTGGCAGGGCTCTTTACAACTCTGGAGTTGCTAACGTTATCAGTACCTACTCTGTATGTGTGTATATGATAGTCAACTGCATAAAAACCTCTGCAGAAGCACAGCTGTCCCTGGCCACCATAGTGGTGGAATTCTGTAAAGGCCACTGCAGTCACAGGTGCACACCCCCTCCCATCAATGCAGGGCTCCAGCCTGTAGAGCTCAAGTTACCGCAGCCATTATCACTGGCCATACAGCACACTAAGCAGCTTTGCAACAACCAACAATATCTCAAAATAAGACATGCACATGTACAAACATATACACACATAAGGCCCTCCAGAATGAAATCTCCATTCATAGAGAAGCAAAGTAACCAAACGTAATCTTTAAGAGAAAAAAAAAAAAATGAGAAAAAGTCCACATGTTTTGCTTTCTAAATGAAGCCCAGAAGAAAAGGCTTGATCTAATAAATTCGACAAAAACTATGGTGCAAAACACAATTATGTGTTCTCCCCACCCGGTGCTCTTTAATTTTAGCTGAATGCATTTCAAAATGAATGTGTACCTAAGTATAAAACTAAACTCTTAGTAACTCGAAGTTCTGCCAGGAAATTAAGGATTCTGCAATGCACAGCCAACAACAGTTTCGCACACCCTGGAGGAGGGAAAAGATTTCCTAACATTACTGACATCTTTTGATCTTAGCCAGGAAGGGCAAAGGTGAGGAGCAACAAACAACTGGAACTTCTTAAGGGAGATGAAAGGCAAGGGGAGGGGAGGAGGGCAGGCCAGAGAGCAGCCGACTCTGCCCACTAGGGGATAAACCCAGAGGGGCCCAACCTCTCCAGAGACGAGGATCTGGCTCACCTGACTGTCCCCTGAAATCTTACCTTTCGTTAGGCAGCAGGGCACCAAGGGCTGCCTCCTCCCCCCACTGCCAGATCCTGGGGGAGGCTCATAAGAGCTGCTACCCACCCCCCAGATAAGGGCTAGGCCTGCCCGGCAGAGCCCACACCCCTACCTCCCCAGCTCCTCCCACCCACGTGTCTGGGGCCACTCACAAAGTTGAGCAGGCAGATGTTCTCCCGCAAGGCCCCCACACAGCCAGCGAAACCCAGCGTGAACATCACCACGCCCACCATCAGCACCAGAACCACAGGGTCAATGCCATGCATCCGGGTCACTTTGGTGAGGTCGGACAGCACCCCCTGAAAGAGGCAGAGAAAGCAGGGCAACATCAGCTTCGAAGAGAGTCGACGGTGCCCTGGGGGGCTGTGTCCGGACCTAAATGAGGACAGGGACCTGCCTTCCAAGGCTCAGTCTTGCCATTAAAAGCCACGGCATGGCACGGCCCCTCCCCACCTGCCCCCTTAGAGGGCCCTCTGCCCAGTAGATCTTTGCCTCCGTCAGCCCCCAGCCACTCTCCCGTTCCTGGTCTCCATCTAGGCTGTGACCGCCTCCCAGGCAGACCCCACACTTCTTTTGTAGCCTGCAGGGTACTGACGCCAGGCCTGGGGTGGAAGAGGCCCTGAGGGGCCCTGTGGTCCCTGGTCAAGGCACCCCAGGGCCCTGGCCTCTGGCCATCTGGTGGCTGACTTTGCATTCAGCTCATGGAGCACCCCACTATCCTGCGATGAGAACAGCTTCAACGTGCACACGCTTGTGAACAGCACACCCGCCAAGGACAGGCGAAGGCAGCGCCATCCACTAACTTTTTTGTGACAATGCAGATGTTCTATATCTGCACTGTTCACAATGGTAGCCACTGGTCACGTGCTATTGAGCACTTGAAATGTGGCCTGGTGGAACTAAAGAACTGAATTTTAATTTGTATTTCATTTTAATTAATTTAGATATAATTAGTCATATCTGGCTAATGGCAGCTGAAATGGACAGAGCAGCTCTACAGGATTCAAAGGAGGACGGAGAAAAGAGCAGCCGGACCAGGCACCCAGCTAGAATCAGGGAGCCGGGGTAAGCCAGGCCTAGGCTCAGGGCTCCGTTGGCTGAGATGCTGCTGTTCCAGAGGCGGTCACACGGTGGCACTACGAGTCATGGTTTGCACCAGCTTCTTGGTCACTAGGGCAAAGTGACATTGCACTACAAGCTCTTAAAGGGGCCCAAACCCAAAGGCAGACCTTATCCAGTTCCTAAGGCCATGGCAAGAAAGCCCACAGACCTAAGCGCTCCTGTCTCCTCCTCCTGAAAGCAGAAAGAGATTCCACTGAAGGAACAGAGGGCGCTGGGCCTGACACTCAAGAGGAAGCTTCAGCTCCCACTGTTTCCAGCCTGGTCTCTCTATTTCCCCAGCGCACACCTACCTGCAGAGCAAAATGTGGCACCAAAGCTCCACCCCACCCACACCCGGTCTAGTCCCCTCCTTGGAGTTCCAACTGCCCCTTGTCCTTCCGGACAGTAAGAGCCTGGTCTCTCCTCCCCCCTCCTCTACAGGTTGGGCAAGGAGATTCAAAGGTGCCGACAGGGCACCCAGGGGGCACATCCCAGAGCCCTGCTCCCTGACTCAGGGGTCCTTCCCATGGACGAGAACAAGAGCTTCAGGAATCAACACAACTGTGTTCAGGGTCCTGCTGGCTCCCAGAGGCACAGACAGGGTCCATTCCAGAAGGTAGCCCCAGGCCTGCCCTGGACACAGCTGTAGACATGCCCCAGGGTGACTCAAGGCTTCTGGGAACAGGAGAGAGGGCTCCCCACACTCACAGGGCTCAAAATCCCAACCAGCCCAACCTTGACCTCTGGCAGCGACCCTGCCACGGGGAAACAGGGCCAGCAGCAGGACCCCAGGAGTTTTCATCATAAGTCCAGTAACTTCCAAGAGCTGTGGCTCTGTAAAGAGCCATTACCCTGCACAAGAGAGGCTGGTCAGGGAGGAGTTTGGAGGAAGGGACAGTTAAAGCTGAACAAACCTGGCGGACTGATGCTCAGGGTCCTAGTGACAGTCACACCTACCTTCTCGCTCCACGCCCATAGTCCGACACCGAGGAAGACAACTCCAGCCAACTGAGCAGGCGCAGGGGGAAGAGAGAGAGAGAGAGAGAGAGAGAGAGAGAGGAGAGAGAGAGAGAGAGAGAAAGTTAGGTCAGAAACCAGCTCCACGAACATGCTTCCCAGAGGAGGGACCACACTGCTAGTCTAGTCTAGTCCGACACCGAGGAAGACAACTCCAGCCAACTGAGCAGGCGCAGGGGGAAGAGAGAGAGAGAGAGAGAGAGAGAGAGAGAGAGAGAGGAGAGAGAGAGAGAGAGAGAAAGTTAGGTCAGAAACCAGCTCCACGAACATGCTTCCCAGAGGAGGGACCACACTGCTAGTCAGGGGTTGTTCCTGGCTCGTGTCCAGGCTGGCCAGAACAAGGGCAAGGCGGCCCCCTTGGCCCCTGCAGATGACAGGGACTCTACACCAGAACAACAGGACGGTGAGGCTCTTCAGATAACCTACACCTATCTTCCCTGACCATTGGGACAAATTCCTTCAACCCCAGCTGCCCCCATGCTCTGGAGAGCAGAGACAAAGATCTCGGAGCAGACTCTGTCCAGGAGAGACTATGGAGTTAGAGACATCAGGCCACGCCCCGTTTCTTCCCCATTCCACAAGCCCCCTACTCATTTCAATGCACTATCTGGTGTGTAAGAAGACATCACCCCTTATGATGGCTGCCCCAGGAGCCTTCACGGACTCCCAGTACAGGTGAAGCCCTGCATAGGACACAGCACCCCCTGTGCCGCCCGCCTCAGGCCTCCAGCCCCGGAGACAGACTCCAAGCACAGACAAGCAGCGGCCCAGGCCATCTGCTGGCAAGGCTCAGGCTCCTCCTCACTGTGTACCTACACTCGGCACTGCAGGGCATGCCTGTGCTCGGGAAATGCCTGGTTATGTTACCGCATCAAAAGAAGCCTGCACCAGGCCAAGTGCTCACCCCAGAAAAGCAGTGCCCCCCAGACCTGACCTCCTGCCCACAGGAACCCATTGGGGCTAAGGTGCCTCACGTGTACCATGACAAAAAGGGACCCCCAAATACACTCCACAGATTCCTACACCAGGGAGGATTGTTCCATAGAAAACAAACACCATGTGGCCTCTACAAATTAAGCAACCCCCTATTTTTCTGCTTAACTGCTTTATACTCTGCTGGCATTTTGCTGCCATTTATCAGGACCTCTCGGTAAACAACAGGGCAAGGTTCTCTGTGACTGCAACTTTCCCAAGTGTATTCTCCAGCTTTAGGATACTCCTGTCTACTTCACTGCAAGCCCTAGGAGGCTGGACTCGGAAGAAGGGCCTTCAGAGAAAGCCCCGGAGCTCCCAATCTCCTCTGGGTCACAGGCCACTTTCAGAAAATGTGCACGTGCCCAATATTTTGGAGGGAATTTCAGAGGGTTCTCGGACTCCTTACTGCTGGTTCCCACAGCAGTCTGTGGACCCCAAGTGACGCAGTCCTGCCAAGACCTGATTCCCCCACCTAACAAAGCAGCACGTGAGCCGAGAGGGCCAGGACCAAAACTCTGAAACCGAGTCCCTCTGAAACAGAGTTCCTCTGAAACACAGTTCCCTGACAAGTTGATGATTAATCTCTCTATCCACAACTTTATTCCCTTTCTCGTCCCACCCCTGTTTCCCTCAAGATTGAGGAATATCAAAGAAAAGGAGTGACTGAAACCGAGCAGGACCCTGCGGGGCCTTCTTGGGTATGATGAGCCCCTCTGTGCCCGATGCTTCTTGTTGGTCTCCCCTCCCCCTCTCCCCCCATTCCAAAGAGCTGACTCAAGCAGCTACTGATTAGAACAACTGAGTCACAGGACTCCTGGTTCCTCCAGAAGGGATTTAGATAATAATATGACACTATCTTTGAGCTGTTCTGCAGAAACTAAGACCACACCCCACCAACCCTGTAGAGGATGGTGATTACCCACTGACCTGAAGAAGTACGTGGATCCCAGACTGACTGGAACCGGAAGGCAGATGATTCAGATTCCCGAACCATCTCCCTGCTACATCACCACTAACCAAGCAGAAGAAAGTCCACAAGTTAATCATATACCCTGTGACTCTCACCCCTAACATTTCCTTTAAAAACCCTTGACTGAGAGCCATCGGGGAGTTTGGGTCTTTTGAGCACGAGCTGCCCGTTCTCCTTGCTGGGCACTCTGCGATAAACCTTGTAATTCCCTTCACCACAACCTGGTAGCAAAAAGACTGGCTTTGCTGCAAGTCGGGTGAGCGAACCCAAGTTCAGTTCAGTAACAATCCCAAGCAGTAAGTGAGAAGGCCCAGATCCCAAGTCTCTGTTTAGTTCATTCATTTACTCACTCACTCATTCATTCAACAGGCATTGAGTAAGTGCCAGGCACCATCTCAAGCACTGGAGACAGCACTGCGCCATGTGGGCAAAGATCCCTCTGCTGCCAGAACTTAGGCTCTATGGAGCCGACACGTGGTCCTTTCCACCACATTGTGCTGATTTCCCACTTTTCCATCCTCCCATTGGATTAATGAGTTGATGAAGAGGGCTTCGTTTTCCTTGATGGGGTACACGACCACATACCTTCCCTTCCCGAGTGTCAGACACTGCACGGTAAGCAAGTCTGAAGGTGACCAGTCACTATCTGCCGAATCCCCGTAGGCCTCTCTCCCCACCATTCCTCAAGGTCTCCAATGACTCACTTCCCTCTTGCCAAGCAGGGGGGTCAAGTCTTTTGCCTCAGCTTACCTGATCTCACCCAACACAGCTGGTCATTCTCTCTGTCACTGAGGCACTCAGCTTTGGAGACACCAAGTGTACACACACAGTTGTCTTCCACCCTCCCTGTTGTTTCTTCTCAGTCTCCTTTGTGGGTTTGTCCTTGTCTTTCAGAGTCCTCTAAATGCTGGAGAACCTCACTGCTCAGTCCTGGACCCCTGCCCTCCCCTGAGCCCTCTAGATGATCTCATAACTAACATGGTTGACTCACAAATCCTAACCTCCAGCCATAGCTGCTCCTGAGTCAAACACCCCAATGTCTACTTGACTTGTCCACTGAATATGACTAGTAACATTTCAATCTTCATGTGCCCCCAAATGGAGCTGTGGTCTCCCAACCCCGGAGCAGCTCCTCCCCACCTCTCCCATTCTCACTAAATGGCACCACTGACCACCTACTCATTTAAGATAGAAAACCTAGACCTCAGGCTTGACAGCTCTCTCCCTCCAACTCCACATTCAACCTATCAGGACCCCTCTGTTAGTCCTACCTTCAAAATACATAGCATACCCTCTCCGCTCCCACCTGTCCATGCTTCATCCCTGCAGGGGCCCCCCCACCGTCTCCCCACAGGTCCCCAAGCAACTAGAACAATCCTTTAAAAATATGTCTAGATCACTCCCCTCCTCAAAATGCTCCGATGACTTCCTTTCACGCTTAGAACAAAATTCAAACTCCTTGCCGTAGACCACAAGAACGTGGGCAGCCACGCTGTGGCATGCATCTCCAACACCATCTCCGACCCGGCTCCCCGGGCCCAATCCCCTTCTCTGGGCCACCCTGGTATTGTTACTGTTTCTTGAACTCACCAAACTCATCCCTGCCTCAGAGCCTTGACTAGATCCCTCAGCCTAGAATGTTCCTCCTCCATATCCCTTCCTGGCTTCCTCCCTCATTCCATTCAGGTCTCTTCAAATTTCTCCTCCTCAAACACATCCCCCTTTGCCATGCTATGTGGACGCTCCCCACCCATCACTCCTGATCTCCTGCCCTGCTAGGTCTTCTTCATGGCACATATCCTAGACCACATGAGCTGTCTGTCTGTCTACTGTGCCTCCCCCCACTTAAGCCCTCTGAGGGCACACATGTTTTCTATTCTGTTCAGGGTTGCCTAACCACTTTCCATGACAACCCACCCACCACTCAGTGCCAGGAGGGACAGGGGGGAAGGTCTGTCCCTCGGAAACCCTTCGCCGAATACGGTCAGCTTGAGACACCAGCTCCCTACCACGGCAACCCAGTTCTCCTTCTCTCACAACAACGGGGCTCTAAGAATGAGAGCTTGTGTTTTTTTCCATTCTGTTTTACAGGAAGCACTAAAGTTAACTTTACACCAGAAAGACAGGAACCGGGTGGGGGGGGGGGCAGGGACCCATGTCAGATCATGGGTTCAGTGAACAGTGGTCCAAGGCAGGACCTTCAGGGATCAACAGCTGTTTTAGAGACAAGGAGACTGAGGGAGAACCAAACAGGGGAAGTGACCTGTCTGGGAGCTCACACGACAGCCCCCTGAATGATCCAGGACTCTGGTCAGCTTTGCCTGGCTCCCCGTGGAGACCCTTCCCTGGACCTCCCTGGGACAGATGGTCTATGGAGCTGGGCTGTCCTCCTAGCTGCCAACCATCTGGGAGTGACAGTTAAGGTGCCTTCCAGCCTCAGAGTAACCTCCTTTGTCTCTCTTCTATGACCTGTTTAAATTCCTTCCCAAAGAATGGAGCCCAACTGCCACCAAGCCCAAAGGGAGGCCAGCCTTGGACCATCAGGTGCACACCCTGCGGTGGTCACCAGGGCAAGTAGCACCACCCCTTCCTGGGTGCCAGGTGCTGCATTAAACACAATACACCTAAAGAGGCCCTCCACACCCCATAACACTGGTACTATTACCCCCACTTTTCAAAAGGGAAAGTTCCGATGTAAAGCGATTTGGTCATTTGCCCAAAGTCAGACAGCTAGCTGGTGGCAAAGTCAAGAAACAAACCTGCATGTCTCTGTCCTGACATCATGTTATCTCATTGCCCACAGGGCAGCCACCCAAGGCAGGAAGAG